GTAAACTAATTATTGATGAGGCTAATTCTATTTGTTACCGCATATATCAAGTATTATACATTTTATGGTTTTTTCAAATGTACCGCAATTTGTGTGGTGCATCTTTTGTATCCATACACATATAGTTATTGATACAAAAAATAACTTTTTAGATTACAATATAGCATAACTATGCTATAATACCCAGCGGGCACAGACGTGAATCAAACGTCTTACGGACGACTTAACTAGGTCGCGACGTCTCAGACGTCCTAAAGACGTCTGGTAAAGACGTCTTTGTTAGGACGTCCTTGTGACGTTAATATAAAGACGATATCAGGACTTTAATATTTAGACGTCCTATTGACGTCGCTAAGACCTACATAAGACGTCCTAATTACCTTAAAAATAAGTAAAAAAATTAATACTATCAACTTAGCGCATACAATATTATGCGCAAACTCGGTTATATAAATATGTCTACTTGTTTTGGTTGATTATTTTAAGACTATTATTTTGTTTAGTTATTTATCGTCTAAAGATATTTTTTAATTTTCTATATTCTATACTCTATGATCTATAAACTATAATCGATACAATATTTAAAAAAAAGAGTAACTAAGTTACAAGTATAATAAGGGAATTTTAACAAAAGACATCAAAATTGCACCAAGACTTTTCACTTTGTGTTTTATAGAATAGTATTGATATTTTTGTGTGTCTGTGTTATATATAAATTAATATATACATATTAATTTATATATATATATATATATATATATATATATATATATATACATATATATATATATATATATATATATATATATATATATATATATATATATATATATATATATATATATATATATATATATATATATTATATATATATATATATATATATATATATATATATATATATATATATATATATATATATATATATATATATATATATATATATGCAAAGATTTGTAATATCTTGGCTGTAGAAATAGGTAAATGGATAAATAAATTGTATATATTTTGTTGTTCCTGTGTTGTTTCATTCCATTTTATGATTTTTTCATCATGGGTTGTATAAATAATTATTAAGATTATTACGTATGTTGACAACTTCTTACTGTGTTGTTTCATTTAATTTGATGTATAATTATTTATATATACATGATTTATACATTATATTATAATGTTTATATGATGCATACATATTCATTATATACATATATATATATATATATATATATATATATATATATATATATATATATATATATATATATATATATATATATATATATATATATGTATATATATATTTATTTATTTATATATATATATATATATATATATATATATATATATATATATATATATATATGTATAAATATATAGAATATATATATATATATATATATATATATATATATATATATGTATAAATATATATATATATATATATATTCAATATATACATATATATATATATATATATATATATATATATATATATATATATATATATATATATATATATATATATATATATATATATAAATATATATATATATATATATATATGTATATATATTTATTTATATATATATATTTATATATATATATATATATATATATATATATATATATATATGTATAAATATATATATATATATATATATATATATATATATATATATATATATATATATATATATATATATATATGTATAAATATATATATATATATATATATATATATATATATATATATTCATTATATACATATATATATATATATATATATATATATATATATATATATATATATATATATATATATATATATATATATATATATATATATATATATATATATATGTATAAATATATAGAATATATATATATATATATATATATATATATATATGTATAAATATATATATATATATATATATATTTATTACAATGGAGAAAATAGAATCACCCTCACCATGTACTGATCCAATATTTTGTTAATCTGTAAGCAAGTTTGTGTGGTGCATCTTTTGTATCCATACACATATAGTTATTGTTACAAACAATAACTTTTTAGATTATATATAATCTAAAAAGTTATTGTTTGTAACAATAACTATATGTGTATGGATACAAAAGATGCACCACACAAACTTGCTTACAGATTTACAAAATATTGGATCAGTACATGGTGAGGGTGATTCTATTTTCTCCATTGTAATAAATATATATATATATATATATATATATATATATATATATATATATTTATACATATATATATATATATATATATATATATATATATATATATATATATATATATATATATATATATATATATATATATATATATATATATATATATATATATGAACACTATAGCCCTCTCACACCAACTGGACATTCACAAAATGATTTCTGCAGAATGCTATATTTAAATAGCATTACATCAGACGAATTTATTTTTCGTGAAATTTTTGTTATAAGTCCTCTTACAAGCAATGTATTTATTGAACTGAAGTCATTAGATAAATTAAAATCCGTTGAAGTTTCAACACTCACATTTTTCCTGATCGTCAAAGTAGAATATGCTTTTTGTTGTTGTCCTAAACTCCCTTCTCTTTTATTTAAAGCATACATTTTATAGATGAAGTTATAAAATGGTACAACGAATCGTCACAAGTCCAAAAAGTAATTAAATATGGAATGTTTGTAGGATTTAAGGAGTGTACGAATACAAAACGTCTTTCTGCACTTCTTTTTAGTTTTTGAGATACAGAAGGATATAGTTTAAATTTATTTATTCTGATACGTAACTCATGGTCAGTTAGCTATTTTATACAACCTTTTTTTATTTGAAGTATCATCAATTGAGTTTATATAATATTTTGTTTTAACGGTTTGATTCACTTATCCCCTATAAAAATGACACCATAATTTCATACGCTAAACGCACCCCGTATGAAAGTCCTTAATTAAACGCATCAAAAATATTTTCAGTTAAAACTCATCCGTTGGCCAGCTTTCTTAACTAGTTTTCGTGCTGTTTTTTCTTATCGCATCTAAACGTTGCAAAAGCAATAGACGATGATTTTCTTTCCTAAATAAATCGCAGCCGGTAATTTTTTAAATAATGATTGTTGAGTAATTTTTTAAACTTAAGTAAAACACGCTACAATACGAAAAATTTTAATCTACTTATCAGTTTGTTTATTTTTTTTCTATTTTTTGTTCCAGCCGTATGTACTCTTTTACATTACATTAAAATTCATAGTAATTCATTAAAAAACTTAAAAAAGTTTATATATTTTAGTCTTTTGAAAAAAAAAATGTAGGACTCGATAAATAGTAAGGGGTGTCCACTATGCAAAAAAAATTTTAAAAGCACTCAAGTTAAATTTTTTTTCCATTCTTGTGTTTTTTTACAATGTAAAAAAATTATTTTACCAAATTTTAGTAACTATTCTAGGGCTTCCTTAAAGTCCTTAAATATTTACCAGGTCCCAAAAAATAATAAAAAAAATAGTTTTTACTGCTAAAAAAACGACATATTATTAACTAAAAATGAAAAAAGAGAGTTCTACAAGGTTGTTTTACTTTTTTAAGTTCTTTCATTCATTTTTTTATATATATATTTTTTTAAATTAATATTTTAGATTATTTGTGATATACTACTAAATAACTTTTTAAATATTATTAGAGACCTGTTCAATGTTCAAGTATATCTTGAATAATTATTATAATTTGTTAAAATATTTTTTTACATAATTAACAAGCTATAATTTTTGCATAGTGAATATCTAATTTTGCATAATGGATAAAGAATATTACAAATTTATTTTATTTGTTTGCTTTAAGAAAAAAAATTTAATTTTTAAAATTAAAAAAAAAAAATGAGATTTAAAAATTTATCAAGAGTACTTGATAAATACATTTATAGTCTAATTAAATGTTTAATAAGTAATTAATTTAAATTTAATGCATACAATTTATGTATAAAAATAACTTTATATGTTTGTTAAATATACAACATATATTCTGTTAGAAATGATTTAATTTGTCTGCAATCTAGTTTGTCTAGATTTTTAGAATGTTGTGACAAGGCCCTGCGAAGCTTCGAAATTTCGAATTGAATCGAATCAAAAATATAAATCGAGATACGATTCGAAAATTTCCAAAAATCAAATCCTTACTTATTTAGTTTTTGTGAGTATTTTTGATATTCTGCGCTTTGGCGCTATCAAAATCACGTTACTTATCCTTAAATACTTTTTTAATCAGTCATTAAGATGGTTAACCAAGGCAAGAAGCATCAATAATGAGATTATAAAATTATTTTCTTTTATTTTGAAATATATATTATTATATAAAAAGAGCTTAAAATTAGACTTCAAAATGTTAATTCGAAACGTGATTCGAATCGCGAATCAAAACCTTCTTCAATTCGAGATTCGATTCAAAAAAAATAAAACTGCCAATTCGTGGGGCTCTAGTTGCGACTCACACAGGGTGGAGATCAAGAACCTCTTCCTTTACGAACAAAAAAAAATAATGTACAGTAATAATATAAACTATAATTATATTATATTATAGTAGAGGACTTCCATAAAGTGAGTTTGCACTAAACCACTATTTTTGCCACCACTCTCTTTTTATTTAAAGGCACATTCTGCCACTGCGTATGTACATACAAAATCAAGACCATCTCATAAAATTTTATTTAAAAAAAATCGAGGCTTTAATGTCAATTTTTAATGTTCTCAGAACTTTTGCGTCAAAAACGATATTTAAAATCATATTTTATGAGCAACAAACTATCTCACAAAAATAAATTCTACTGGTTTTTTGCTAGATATTCTTCTACAAACATTTTTTTATTAATTATTTCAATCTATTACCAAACAACTTACTTTTGTATGTCTTATTTATTTTTGTTTAGTTTTGTTTAGTATTGCTGGTCTAACTATTATTTAAACAACTGTAAATTCAGTAACTGGGAGTTAAATAGTTTGAACGATTGTCTGCGAAAAGCTAGAAGTTTGCGTTAAACGATTGCTACTTCTTTTGCTAGACTTGTAATTAGATAGTGTGAATGACTTTCTGAGAATAGGTCGAACATTAGGTGAAACTAGTATGTATATCATTGCATCGGTCCACAACGAAAGAGAGTAAACTATTGATAAAAAAAATGAAAGCCCTAAAGAGTTTATATGAACGAAATTATCCACTGATATTATTATATCGGGCACTACAACCAAAATGATATACGAGGTTATGATAGCAACAGATACAAGAGATCCTTTTGTAAGACTTCTATTGTTGTGATTGGATTGAACCTTAGCTCTTTGTCTTTTCAATAATAAAATAATATGAGTGTACACAACAATCGCTAACGTCAAGTTTATGCCGTCTAAACAAATAAAAATAACTGCGTTTAAATGATAATAATGTAAACCAACTATGCATCCACTTATTATTGAAAAAATCCATAGAATCACTATTGCGACAACCGTTTTTCTTCTTGTCCAAATGACTTGGTACTTTATATTGAGTTTTATATGCAAGTATCGATCAAGTATCAACCAAAATGTTGCGTAATAATAACCAAGGTTTACAATACTTTGAAAAATTTGTAAGACTTTGTTAAAGTTAAACGGAACAACTTCAACAAACACAATTGTAATATCAATTGAACTTTGTACTATTAAAACTATGTTTAAAATAAAGTTAATAATGCAGAGGTTAATAACTATGATCTTTTGGGTGTCCACCTTTAAGTTTTTAAGAGTGAACAAAAGATACAATCCTATTCCATTCAAAACAAATCCAATAGAGCATAAAAACAAGAACACAATTGATAGATTATCCATCTTTGTTGAATACTGTCATATTATTTACAAGATTTGGACAATATAGGAGAGTTAAAAATATTTTTTCTAAAAGCAAAAAAATTGAATAATCGTGTACATAATAGTCATTAGAGATATATGTTATATTTATATTGACATCAAGCCTAATGTTGTTGATAGTTAATAAGGCTTTAATTGAGTTAATGCCCTTTAGTAAATATAGGTCACTTTTTATCTTTTGGTGCTAATTTGATATTGTCATTGCAATGCTTTTTAATTTGATATTGTCATTGCAATGCTTAATTATTTGATATTATCAATGTAATGCTTATTAATTTAATATTGTCATGGCAATTCTTATTAGTTTGATATTGTCATTGCAATGCTTATTAATTTGATATTGTCATGGCAATGCTTATTAATTTGATATTGTCATTCTAAAGGTGAGTTTCCACTCATCCGTTTTTTCACTGGGAACGTGATAGGAAAGGAAAAAATAATCACGTGAGCATGCGTAGTTTTTCTTCAGATATATTAAAACTTATACTACGCATGCCGACGTGATTATTTTTCCCGTCCCTTTCCCGTTCCCGTAAAAAAAACAGATGAGTGGAAACTCACCTTAATGCTTATTAATTTGATATTGTCATTGCAATGCCTATTAATTTGATATTGTCATTGCAATGTTTATTAATTTGATATTGTCATTGTAATGCTTATTAATTTGATATTATCATTTTAATGCTTTTTAATTTGATATTGTTATTGCAATGTTTATTAATTTGATATTGTCATTGTAATGCCTATTAATTTGATATTGTCATTGCAATGCTTATTAATTGCTGAAAAAAGACTTTAATTACTATTCATCGTGTTTTTGTTTTTTTTTTCACTTTGAAGTTTAAAAAGTTTTTATTTCAAGTGTTGTACTTGATGTTAATATAATCAAATTGTTTGAATAAGTTCATCGGTTTCTTGGAATAAATTATTTTATTGCATAGTTTTAAGTGCTCTGAATAAAAATCGATGATGAAAACTTTGTAGGTTGTATGCTTTAAGTTGTTGATTTGTTTGAAATATATCTTTGTTTTAAATATTTATTTTGAGTAGTAAAAATAAAATCATTTTGTATGCATTGCTAAGACTTTGTATTTCTTTTTTCGTGTAGTAAATCTATAAACTATATAAATTTTGAACTTATTACTTAAAATGATTGGCGTTAGCAAAAAGTCAAAAGCTTTTCTGAAATCAATAAATATTGTTAATGTAAAGAGTTTTTAAGAGTTGCTAAGCTTTTTTTTAGAGATAAGAACATGTAACACAGTTTGACTTTTTTTTTTTTTTTTATTAATTATGTTATTTAGATGCCCCAAAAAGACCTAATGGTCTCGTCACAGAGCACCACGGAAGTGCATTTAACCAGGAAATTTACGCCTCCTGCTTTACTGTGACGCAAAAATATAAATATATTCCTGATGTGTATTTTTATCATCTTATTTGGTGAAACGGCACCTAAGATATTTATAATGTTGAGTTTGAAGTAGTTCCACATGTTGGTTGAGTTGTCATTAATTTTGAACTATATATTAGAGTTATTGGTTGCTTTGGATAATGTTGTTATCTTTTTAATACTTAGTTGCCTGTTTTTTATTGTTTTTGAGTAATTGACTAATTCAGTGATACCATCAATTGCTGCAAAAATTGAACAATGATCACTAAACGAAGTTTCTAAGACAAACGTTTTTATTTTTTCTGAATTTTCACTTAATAAAACATCAATCTAACGATTAGATGTTTTGTATTTATTATCATTAAATTTAGTTGTAACTTTAGTTGGTTTATAGACATTTTTCTTTAAGTTGTTATTAGTAAGAAACTCATTAAGTTGCATTACATATTGAGAGCTGAGATTTTGATTTAGATCATTGATTATAAATACTGCTTGATTATAAATACTGCTTTATATCATTGATTATAAATACTGCTTCACTTTGGTTGAGATTTAATAATAAGCTTTCTACAAAGTCGTTAAAGCGTTGAGAATTAATATTTGGTGATTTATAACAGCAGATAAAATTGTTTTTCAATTTGTTGTGCATTACTAGGAAACGAATAATCTCGTATTCAAAACTGCTAATTGAAAACAAAACTTTCAAGTAAATGTTTTATGTAGATGAGAATACCACCTAATGCTGTCTTTACTGTCTTTTTCAACTAATTATAAGACTTTACGAGTCTTACGATTATTTGAAAGAAACTCTTTAGTTAGATATGTATCGTTAAGTTTGGTTTCATTAAGTATTATTATATCTATCAAGTTTAAATCTAAAATTAATTTAATTTCTGCAGAAATCCATCACATGTGATGTATTTAGGCTTTAATGAATTTATATGCAAAATCAATAGTATTTTTTTCTTTGAAAAATCAAAAGAAAGGATAAAGTTATCTAAGTTGTAAATTGTGGGAATGTTGCTATTACTATTAAAGACATTATTAAGTGAATTCACTTGGTTTGTATCAAAAGTTTCAAATTGAATAAATAAAAAATCATTTTCATTTAGTTTATTGACATAATTAGTTGGGTTTGTGTTGTTATTGTTAAGTTGATTTGAGTAATTATATGACGACGTCATTCCCAATATATATATTTTTTTCAATTTTTGATCCCTTATGCCATAGTAGCATTTTTTATTTTCATGATTCACGTCAATGTCATACCTAAGCTTGATATTGCTGTCAAGTGTGTTTTTGAGTTTTTTATAAGATCGTTTCTTTTTTTTTCTAAAATTTTTGTCATTTATTTTTTCTTTTTCTAAATCTTTATTTATAAAAACTCTTGGAGAGCAATCTTTTAGAATTTTTGCTTTAGCTAAAGCAGTGATAACTGTTTTTGCTTTAGCTAAAGCAGTGATAACTGTTTTTGCTTTAGCTAAAGCAGTGATAACTGTTTTTGCTTTAGCTAAAGCAGTGATAACTGTTTTTGCTTTAGCTAAAGCAGTGATAACTGTTTTTGCTTTAGCTAAAGCAGTGATAACTGTTTTTGCTTTAGCTAAAGCAGCGATAACTGTTTTTGCTTTAGCTAAAGCAGTGATAACTGTTTTTGCTTTAGCTAAAGCAGTGATAACTGTTTTTGCTTTAGCTAAAGCAGTGATAACTGCTTTTGCTTTAGCTAAAGCAGTGATAACTGTTTTTGCTTTAGCTAAAGCAGTGATTACTGTTTTTGCTTTAGCTAAAGCAGTGATAACTGCTTTTGCTTTAGCTAAAGCAGTGATAACTGTTTTTGCTATGTGGAATTCAACTTATATCATATTTGTATTGGTATGTGTTTGGGCGTCTTTTTTTTTTTCATTAATCGTATAGTTTTTTTAACTTGTTTTTTTGCCATTTTCAAGGTTGTTTAAGATTGAAAGCAAGGCCGTCCCGAGAAGATGGGGCGTAGGGGGTTTCAAACCCCCTAAGAATTTTATTAGACACTGGATTCGGCAAAATTGGATTTATTTATAATTGGACACTGGAGACGGCAAAACTGGACTTTTTGGAAAACGAATACTTTTTTTTTTTTCAGATTGGTTAGTGAGGACAAAAAAATTTTTTTTTCGGCAAAAAACACACCCGTCACCCCTCTCTCCTCCTCCTTGAAAATCTCTTCGAAACGGCTCTGATTGAAAGGGTTGCTTTTTAATCATTTTTCATCGTTTTTACATTTAAAAACGATGAAAAATGATTAAAAAGCAACCCTTTGTTTTCATTGGCTTGATCGATTTCACTTATTGTAATATTGTTCTCACGGTTTATTTTTTCTTCGTTATTTTTAGTTACTGATTCAATAAAAGCTGCTTTAAATTCTTTTGTTATGCTAAATTTATTACCTGATACTATTTAGCTGTATAAATTCTGTACATTAGGAATATTAATATTACAATAGCGATCATCAGATGTAACAACAACAAAAAAGCAACGACAAAAATTATATACAAAAAATGCTGTGGATTGTCCACTTTGATGACATTAAAGATCTTTGTTAAAAAGTTATTTTCATGGCGGCACTTTGACTCAAGCTTGGTTTGTTTATTAAGTTAATTTAATGGTGATGTAATAATGTGGTATTTTCTGTCAAACATAAATTGCAAAATTTACCACCATTCAAGAACTTTAGATTTCACAAGTCTGGAAAGTAAAGCTTAAGTTAGAATTCCATAATATATCGAAATAATAATATATTAAATTATGTAACATATAACATCTCGATAGGCATTTTATATAAACTTTGAAAGATTGCTTGTAGTCCACAGTAAAATTTATGGCGTTTTTCTTTAAACTTTTTAATCATTTATCTTTCATGCAAGATATTTTACAGAAATATTTAGATTATTTAAACTAATAACCGACTGACGAAAAACACCTTAATGCAAATTGACAGGACTTTGTTTTTATTATTATTATACTATATTTTTGTGGTGTAGTTGTTTTTATTTTGTCGTTAAGGTGGTACACCAGGGAAAAATTTAAATTGTGAAGTAATATATATAATGTTTATCTTCGATGAAAATTTGTTTAAAAAAATTATTATAATTATTTTTATTCAAAAAAATATTTTTGAAAACTCGAAAAAGAAAAAAAGGCAGTATTTCAAAACAGGATATCTTCATCTAGTTCAAGGTGAATGAATTAAAAATTGACACAATGATAAAACACCTTATTATACACCGATTAACCCCCGGATTTTTAAAAATTTTGAAAATTACTCTTATTATTAAAAATTTACTGAATTTTTTAAGAAATTTACTTTCTTTCCATAGATTTATAGCAATAACTTTTTTTAACCAAATGTAAGAAAAACCTATCGGTCAACCGGAGCATCAATAGTAAATAAACATTTCCTGAAAACTTCAGCTCATAAAACTAAGATTTACTTAAGTTGTCATGTTTTGAAGTTTACAAAATGCTAAAAAAGCTATCATGCAAAAAACATGAAATAAAAAAGAATACATCATTTTGAAGGAAGACCTCATTTTGAAAC